TGATAATTAGATTAATGCATTGCTGCTTCTTTACCTCAACCACAACCTGTATAGATACAAGTTTTTGTCCAAAAAAAATTATTTTATTTTTCTCCTGTATTCTTTAGATTTTCTCGGGACTGGTAGCCCTGAGAAAGATTTGCAACCACCCTGATCTCTTCTCTGGTGGTCCTAGGACTTTGAAGGGTGTACCAGATGCTGGAGTGGAGGAAGCAGATCAGTTTGGATATTGGAAACGTTCTGGAAAAATGATAGTGGTAGAGTCCTTGCTGAAAATATGGCATAAGCAAGGGCATAGAGTGTTGTTATTTACTCAGTCGAGACAGGTAAGATGACTGTTTTTAGCTTTAGTTGTTACTAAAAGTAAAAAAGTGTGTGTGTGTATCCCAAAAGGTTTGTAATTAGATGCAGAGTTACTCTTTTGTGGTGTCCTTCTCAGAAGATTAACGTATCTCTGAAAATACTAAAATGTCGAATGTTTGGAATAATAGGAGTAATTATTAATTAGAGACCAGTTCCCTAGTTCAGTAAGCTTTACTGGAACCACACTTGTGCTATGATGTGTGTTGCCTCAATTCAGTATACTGGATCAAAGTGTTTTATAATTTATATGCGTACATCACCGCTGCTTCAGCCCAGTTTTGTGTTTATTGTCCCTAATGTATAGTTTCAGGATAGAACTGGTAGTTGTTTTGCTCACTCTGTTTAGTGCATGTGCACAGGTAGACCTCAGAATTATGTCCTTTAAGCAAGTAGCGTGGCCAATGACCTTCCTTGGTCTTTCCTAAATATTCATGACTTTGCCTTGTTTCTGGTGATTGCTCCACTACTTACCTGGTTAAATTGTCTTGAGACCATAGCTCCTGACTTCGGACGCCAACATTACCAGCACTTGCACGTTCCCACACAAACATTCCATTCCTGCATTCCAGCAGCAAAACAACTACTCTGTTATTTTCTTCCTTCTTTCAGTTGCATAAGTTAATGAATTTGTGCTTGTTTAGGCTTCACAAGTTGTTATTTCTTTTCTAAGAGAGTTTTTTTTTTCCCCTCGTTTGCTTGATTGGCACTGCAGTTAGTACCAGAAATTTTTATGACTTGATAGATGGTCACTTAGTCTTCCTGTCTGGATTTCATTAAAATTTTTTTCTATCATAACAGATGCTGCAGATCCTTGAAGTCTTTGTGAGAGAGAGAAACTATTCCTACCTCAGGATGGATGGCACCACAACAATAGCTTCCAGACAGCCCCTTATAACAAGATATAATGAGGTGAGATGTTGTATCCCACACAAATGCCCATTAGTGAGTATGGGTACCTGGGCATATTTTCAAATACACTACTTCAGTTTTGACAAAGCAGTCTGGGAAGTTCAATCAAATGAAACCACTTGCCTTGTGAGAGGAAAAGAAGTCACAATTTTTTCTCATATTTAAGTTGGATTTTGTGCTGAGAAAAAAACCCACAACTGAACAAGGGGGAAAGAAGCTTTGGCTGGACAACAGTAAATGAAGTTTAGACCAAACTACTTTTATTTGTCGCAAGAGCAATTAGGCGAACATGGAAACTTATTCCTCCTCTTGACTCCCTTTGCATTTTTGCAAATAATACTGGTAAATATAGATTAACTTTTTTCTCTATTTTTATTAAATTTAAAATCAACATTTTAATAAAAGAATCCAGGAAATAACAAGAAGGGGCTTGTGCTTTGGTAATTCCTGTTTTATTAAGTTTCCTCTTGTCTTATAGGACAAATCCATATTTATCTTTCTTCTGACAACTCGTGTTGGTGGCATTGGAATTAACTTGACAGGTGCTGACCGTGTTATTATTTATGATCCTGACTGGAATCCCAGTACAGACACACAGGTGCGTTTGGTTCATTACATTCCATTTACTAGCTAAGCTGAAAATAAAACTGAAGATGGAATGACGTTTTTCTCCATAAATTATGTGTTAAAGCAATATATTGCTCTTACCTAAGTTGCTGTTGCCAGAAACGGTCGCTTAGGGAGCGGTTCCATATTATGATTGCTTGCATGGCAAAGCCAGTTTAAGTGGTTCCCACCACATCCTTTTTATGCTATCATATCTTACCACTCTTTGATATTGGCGATTCATATATGCAGTTTAGAATGTAGTCAGACAAGCGGTCAAAATGATCTAGGTTTTTTTACATAAATAAACAAACAACATGTTTCCAAAGGTAGAGTGCAGCTGTACAAGCTGTTGAACAGGCATGATTTGAGGGGGTGGAGATCTGGGCAGGGTAGGAAAAACACAGCAACCGTTGGGACCAAGAACTGGGAGACAGCAGAACCCTCTTAAATTGGCTTTATCGCTAAATCTTGGCAACTGTGCTCTCAAGAGAGGCTGCCTTTATGCTTACCTTAGAGGAATTGTTCTTTATCTGATAATGAGTAATAGACTCTGGGTTATCAGATCTCTTAAGAGTTTATGGCGCTTACATGTTTGAGAGGAGAAAACAATTTCCTTAAGAGAGCCTACGCAGGTTCGGGACCTGCAAGTGTGCAGTCTCACTGCACTGGTCCATATTAGTTTTTGGTTCAACATGTCTCCAGGAAAGCTTTTAGTCAAGAAAAAGGGAGAAAAGTTTGTAGGAAATGTACACGTTACATAAAAGTGACTTCTGATATAGGTCTCTTTTGGAACAAGTCTATATGAAGTACAGCATTCTAGATATGAGTTCTGATTTTAACAAGCCAACTTGTTCTTTGAGATTTTGCATAGATTTCTTGGTACAATTGGAATTTTGTCTTTCTTTGTTAAGTAATCTTTCTAAACTTTTTTTCCTCTGCTTCTGAGTTTGCTTTCCTAATGTTATAGAAACAAAACAGCTACAATTTATTGAACTATTTGTTAAATGCCCAAACTAGATCTAAAACAGTGGTATCAATAGTTCCCTGTCAGATGTGCCTCTGAAAGGTTAAATGTCTGGTAACCAAACCTTTTTTTCTAGGCTCGGGAGCGTGCTTGGAGAATAGGCCAGAAGAAACAGGTGACTGTGTACAGGCTTCTCACTGCAGGTACTATTGAAGAGAAGATATACCACAGGTCAGTTGGACTAATTCTTTGGATACAGCCCTATGCTCAAGAAAATTTTTGTAGCAAATCTGAGGTCGTATAACAGTGTTACACCTGTGCTTGTGCTCACATGGCATGTAACCCCTAACCTTGGTCGTGATGGGGCATGCAACAGGGAAAGCTTACAAAATTTCTGTTGGGAAGTGAGTCTTCTGATACTACAGGACTGTGCTGCTGTTTCTCTAGCTCTGAGATCCCCATATGCCAAACATACTTCATCAGTCTGTCCAGCAGCTGCGGTTGTGTCCAGCACATCCAGAATTCATTCTAAATGGAAAAGCATAAGGCAGACACCAGAAAAATGACTCTTGTTTAGAATATGAGACTTGATAAGTCTGAAATGTAATTTGAAATCAACAAGTTCTTTATGCTTTCTGTAGGATATGTAAAGATATATGTGGTACATACATGCATTTGCTACTCTGCAAATACAGTTTGATTCTATTCTAAAATTATTCCAAAGTGAAAGAATAAAGCCCTGAGAGCAGCTCATTCTTAGTCACATTATTTATTCCAGAATGTAGCTAAAGCCTTAAAATGTTTGCATTTCTAAACCAGTGAAATCTTCTTGTTTGTTTTCCCATCTAACTGTTTGAGTAGTTGGCTTCATTCACATGAATTCCAGATGAATGTACTTGGGAATCCTCTGGCTAGCATTACTCTTCAGATCTGGAAATAGCCTCTTTGAAAATGTAGATGAATGAAAAACTCTAAATAATGAAATACCAGCCGCTTATCAAGTGCATTTTTTTTATCTGCTTTACCACATGGACTCAAAGCATCCGCTGTTAGTTGGCTTGATTCCTTCTGGCATACGTTGGTTTGAAAAACACTGACCACATCCAGGAAGTGGGCTCTAAGGGTTAGGACAGCCATCAGAAATTCAGTTTATTAGCAGAGCAGTGCAGTGGGCTTCAGACTTCAAGCAAATTGTCTTCTGTTTTTGCCTCTGTTTTTTCTTCCCTGCAGGTATGAGATCAGCCTTGCAGGAAGCTATGAAGCTCAGTTAATTCTTACAGGTTCTAAAAGTCTTCTGATGAATGTACTATGGTAGCTGGAAACTATATTTGAACATAAATTTTTGCCAGCTGCATTTGGATGCAGTTTCCCTGCTTAGTGTCAGCAGACCAAAACCATGGAACTGGTCTCCAGCTTTATTTGAGCATGTGTTTTTTGGACAGGAAAACGGTGCCTATAACTTGCAATCAAAAGCTATCTACTATAAACATGGCATAGGAATAGATTTGCCACTACCAACAGACTTGTGGCTGCTTAGTTCTCCACCACATTTGTTCCCTTCTGTCTTCTGTAGATGAGTTCTATTTTTTCCCCTTTCTCTCACCCTAACTCTGATTTCTCTTTTCAATGGTTGTCACACATTCCTCAGTATCAGACTGAGGTGCTCCGCTGCTTTTGGTTCCTCCAACCAACTGAACCATTTAAATGTTATCATTTTAACAAGATCTTGTTTTTCTTTGAAAGAGCTTTTTGATAGTTTTGTTATAATATATATAGATTTTTCAGTTTTAATGGACAAAAATCATCTCTGGCTGTGAAGTTATTTATTACTTAGATAAAGGATGCCTCATAGGACATTTCAGAATGGTGGTTACCTGTTGTGTTAAGGGATTGTTGCAATGCAGTAAATCCTTGTGTTTAACAATTTAGTGGGTTGTTTGAAAGTTACTGACTCAAGATTGTCTTTTGAAAACTAACATCATCTTCCCACTGCTTAATTGTTCTGCAGGGTAAAATTTGTGCTAACACAGTTTTCTGTTTAAGTAATCTATTCAGTACTTAAACATAGCTAGACATTTTCATACACAGTACATTTTTTTTCATTTTTAGACAAATCTTCAAACAGTTTTTAACGAACAGAGTGCTGAAAGACCCTAAGCAAAGGCGGTTTTTCAAATCCAATGATCTCTATGAGCTTTTTACTCTGAGCAGCCCGGATGTGTCTCAGGGGACAGAAACCAGTGCAATTTTTGCAGGTACAGATTTTTTTTTTTTCCCAATCTGTTGCAAGCAAAAATGTTTGAAGTGTTTGAGAAATTGATGTTGATTTCATTCATCCTTCAGGTACTGGTTCAGATGTTCAAGTCTCAAAACACCAGTTGAAACGGAAATTTGAAAAGCCACCTGATAATGACACTTCCAAAGGTGGTCTCCATCTTACAGAAAGCAGCTTACAAAAGTACAGCAAGTCATCCAATTCAGCCAGCTGCGTGGCAAATTCTTCTTCTAATGCAATAGAGTCAAGTGAAGAAATGAAAGGAGATTTGGAAACCTTTGACCAAAATAGCTGTGCAAAAGATAATGCACAAGCTATTACTGATATAAATTCATGGAATAAAAGCAAGGAGACGACCTTGGAAAGAGCTGAGAAGTCTATGTCCCAGTCATTGCCAGGTAATGCAGGGTCTTCAGAGAATGCAGAATGTCTGGGCACCATGGTAACTGATGAAGTACATGGAGCAGCTAATGTAGACGCCGAGGGAGGTTTTCATCTTGCATGTGGTGCAGCTGGCTCTTGGGAAAAGCAGGATGCTAAAACTGAAGATGGCCAATTAGATAATAATCATTATAAATGCACCTCAAAAACAAAGCACAAGGTGGATATGCTGCCAAATGAGCGCCACCAAGATAAGTCTAAGAGGAAGAAACACCACAAAGATGCCAAATTTGAAGGAGAGCGTATTCCTCATCTAGTAAAACAAAAGCAATATAGAAAGCAAGACAGTGAAGAGAAGGAGGAAGAGCTAAACAAAAATGATGATTATGTCTTGGAGAAACTTTTCAAAAAATCAGGTAACCTTTGTTACTCAGTTATTCAGTAGTGCCAGACTATTTAAATTGAAGTGTATAAAATTTAGCAGGTGGAGGAAGGAGCAGTTCCCTTATTGTGATGGTTAAACCTACATTACAAAAGATGGGTTCTATCTATTTAGTTATTGTAGTGAAAAGTTAAAATGTTCATTGCTGAAGTGCTCAGGTTATGAATGTGACAAATACCTTGGCTCAAAGATTTCAGAGATCTACAGCATTCCAGAAACACTTTTGGATATGGAAGTAATACAGTGTTTCTTCTGGAAATAAGGATGTAATCAACCTTTATTTACACAAGGCCTTCACTTCTGTCTCTCTTGTCCATAACAATAGAAATGATCAGTTTACACATATAATTAAGTCTGTTGTGAGTAATGACCTCATGAACACACCGGAAGTGATTTGCTGTCAGTTTGATTGCTCATTTGATGCAAGAGGGATCTCTTACTAGAAATGACTGTACTGAAGTGCAGAATATAAACAATCTGAAAAGTGGGGGGAAAAAAAGTGGTTGTGACATTCTCTTAAATAGTGAATACTTATTTTTACATAAGTGAATACTTATTTTTACATTTTTACATTTTACCTGTAAATTAACAGATTTCTTCTCTCACCTTTTCTTATGTGTTCTGTTAGGGGTACACAGTGTTATGAAGCATGATGCCATTATGGAAGCTTCCAGTGCAGATTATGTGCTGGTGGAAGCAGAAGCGAACAGAGTGGCCCAGGATGCCTTAAGAGCCTTAAAAGTCTCTCGACAGCAATGTTTAGGAGCTGCTTCTGGCGTACCAACCTGGACAGGCACAAGCGGTCTTTCAGGTGCACCATCAGGAATAAAGTAAGTTCAGTTTTCACACTGCTTTTCCAAAGAGAGAAGAGTTCCTTAGGATGCTATGAATTTGTCTCTTTTGCGCTTGGTATTTGTGGTAGCATATATCAAAGTGGGGTTTTGTGCTTTGCATTTAGTAAGGATGTGAAGGCATATTGCATGACCAGCAACTAGTCCATCCTGACATACAAAGAAAGCTTTACTGTTGCACAGTGGAGGAGGGAGAGGTTGGAAGAGGGTTCTTGAGACCCCCTCAAACCTGAACCCAGTCAGAGGCTTTATCAAACATATCATGATCTTTTTGAGAGGGATGTTTTAATGAGTTAATACATTTACATGTTTTTAGGAGTCGGTTTGGTCAGAAAAGAAACTCTATGCTGCTTTCTCCACATTTTGGCTGTGCGACACCTGCGAGGAAGTGCAAGGTAAGACAAAGGAGTTAGTATTTCCCTTCTATTAGGTGATAAGTAAAATGTTTTGATTTTTTGCAAGAAATCTGATATATACAGTAAGTGCAAGTGTCCCATATGTACTTGCCCTACAGTTATATAGAGTTCCAGAATTTTAGTCACCCTGTGAATTTGGTATTTCTTGTTTTAATGTGGCATCTTGATAAAGTCTTTATCTTGATAAAGATACAGCAGTCACAAATTACAACATGCTCTGCTTGCCCTGTTTCAGGACCAGTGCTCCTTTTTTTGGCTTCCTCAGAGCTGAAGTACCCAATCAGGTTGAGACTAGAGCATATTACTTGTTTATTATTTGGTAGCTCCTGTATGTTTGCTTTTGTTTTTTAAGCCTAAATGGTAGGTAGATTTCACTAAACAGATTCTGTGGATCTCAAAACTCTGACTTTTTCCATAATCCTTGTGTTTATTTGCAGGATACGGGTACAATAAAGAAAGAAAATGGCAAGAAGGGTAATACCGATGGGCACTTTGATGGGAAATCAGAGACTGGAGAATCATCATCCAGTGCACTAGATTCTTCATCTTTATTAGCGAAGATGAGGGCAAGAAACCACCTTATTTTACCACAAAGGACGCGGAATGAGGGAGATGAGAACCTTCAGCAAGCCCCAGCTCCAGCCCCAGGTTCAACAGAATACGATGAATTGCTAGTGGATGTACGGAACTTCATAGCGTTCCAGGCTCATGTGGACGGTGAGGCTAGTACTCAGGAAATACTGCAGGAATTCGAGTCCAAACTGCCAGCAGCACAGTCTTGTGTCTTTCGAGAACTTCTCCGCAATCTCTGCACCTTCCATAGGAGCCCAAACGGTGAAGGTGTCTGGAGACTGAAGCCAGAATTCCGCTGATCTCTGCTAAGGGAAGGCACCTGTGCATGCACTCAGCCAACACTCTGCTTTCAAAGACTTACTATTTGTCTTTCAAAATGAGAAATTGCTTTATGTTCATGATTTAATAATTGACTTGAGCAGTCAGTGGTGCAGCACTCATTGCAGGCTCAGGGCTGACTTCACTTTGATTTACACTATTTATATGAAAGTGCCATCTACCTCACAGATGAAAACAATACAAAATATCAGCACCTTTTCTTTAGAAGAAAATATAAATAGATGATGAGTACATGTACTGACTTTTCATTGCAATAAGAGCCGTGGATGTTGCCATGGGTTGTGAGACTTTTATTTGATTTCTGTGAAATTCCAAGAATTTTTTCTCAATTTACTGTATGGTACTTGAATGGTTATAGGGCACACGATGTACCACCAAAAGAAACGTGAATAATGAGAAGATAGAGGTGGTCAATGTAAGAGAAATTCACTTGTACTGACATGACAAAATCACTGTAAGAAGATTTCATCAGTAGTGGGAATTTGCTTTTGATGTTGCTGCTTTCATTGTTGCCAGAAGCAAGCGTATGCAGCGAGACTTACATCACTAATTAACTTGGAAATAATGTTACTGTCATGGAGTTTTAATCACAAAAATTGAGAGCCTGGCACAGGGTATTGAGATGACTCTGAAGTTTGATAATTATGGAAAAATGACTGGATTATGGAAAACCCATTTTCCCCATAATCACTGATTCAGTTACAGTCCCATACAGCATTGCCAATCGCATGATACTTTTTACCATTGAGGTAACAATAACTGTGATGTTTGCACATTGTGGACTGATAGTTGAGATCCTGTGAAATACATTTGTGGATCTCATTGTAATTGACAGGAAAAACTTTGCAGTTCCCTGTTAGCACTTACAGTCTTTTACCTTGGCAAAGGCTGAGACATTAGGTGGTCAGAGGGGGAATGATTTCCCTGTTTGTCACTAAACATAATCACTTTTAGTCAGACAGAGGCATAATGGGAGCACATTCAGAAGTTAAGTCATATGTATTCTGTAAATAGGGAAAATATCAGTCTCCCTGCCAGTCAGACAAGTTCTAAATTAATACTCATTTCCTTCCAAGGAAGAAACAATCGGCTTAACTTAGCAAACCTGACTGCTATACTGGGTCTGTCTTCAAGGTGTTGATGTGTTAGGTAAGGAAATCTCAGTGCAAAAAATGAATAGATTGTGAGAACAAAATGCCATTCTTGCACATTTTTGCAGCAGCATTGAATTACTGTATGGCTTAAACTAGTAACAATTCAATGTGGCTGATGTCCTTCTCATCCCTAAGCTATAGGGAAAAGGGAAAGCTGAGCTACTTTTTTTTTTCTTCTTCAATGTTAAAGCGTCTTTTTTACTTCAAGTTAAAGTATAAACAAAAATTGAAATATGAATGGTGAAGCAAGAAGACAAACTGTGTTACTTTACTGTAATAAAGAAAGGTGATCGTTAAGATACTTCCCAGGAGCTTTTCCTATTGTTTTGCTCTCTGCTAAAGAATCAGTAGAGAGATCTGCAGAAAGTGATTGGTCACTGTTTCAATAACTGATCATAGCAGTTGGCTTTTCTGACTGGAATTAGAGAGGGCAGACAGTCCAGGAATATGCTTCTCTTCCTTTTGGAGGTGGGATTGTTGCACCTTTTTCTGACATCGGCTTTTCTGATGCAGTTTGTGTTCATAAGGGCCCTCAGGAGAGAGATGAAACCAAAACCCTAGCTTTCAATTACAAAAGTGCTTAGAAAATGGTAAGTCTGTTGATATGACTTATAAAGGATCGGTAAAAGAATAAAAACAAACCCATTTTGCTGTTCTTCTCCAGAGCTATAGGGTATTTTAATTGGTTTTAAACTTTTTTCTCCCTGAAACAATCTAGGAATTCAGCTATCAGAAAAGCTGCTCCTATCACCTTAGCTGTCACTGCATATGTCCTCTTCTATTTACTACTTTCAGTCTTAAAGACATAGTTCCTGTCCCAAGGAAAGTTTGTAGCGTCTCACTGATGGTCTCTTGATGTAAATGGACTTGCATGTGCTTTTATAAATCCTTGGCTTTTATGGAGTTATTAAAATAGCAAAACCAAAAATCTGTTCTAGAATTCTTACTGGGACGGATGGGATGGTTTGGGGAAACAGTCTTCCTGTGTAGTGTGGCCCCGTGACTAAGTTATTCATGTTATGTTTAAGTACATTTTCTTTATTCCATGAACTTCAAATCATGAATTGTAGCAACTAGGTTTTCCCAGTACTGGTGGAGATTTAAAAGACTGAGTGGCTATTAGTTTAACATTCAGAAAATATTTTTAAGCATTTCAAGTGTGTGTGTGTGATTAAAGGTCTGTGGATTGATTTACAGATGACAGTTGTTCTGGAATATACCTGGAGTACATTTTGAAGTAGAACCCTGCTCTTACTCTGGGATAGATGCTTATCTGATTTGTGTGTGTTTAGCTTTACTTCAGTGTAAAGTGAATTTCTCTCAACATCTTTGAAATATAGGTCTGAAACAACAATTCCCAGCGAGTGGTGTTGCAAAGACAAACATATTCAAATAGTTTATAGCTACATAACATTTTCAAAAGCTTAGGTTTTAGCCTTCTGAATCTCCAGGTATTCAATGCTATAGGCAGTAGTTGCTACTTAATTTGTGCATGATTCCAAAAATCACTCCATAAGGAATGCTCGTATTTTGCATTTTATTTTCTTAGCAAGAAGGGGATAAAGAATGATCAAAATAAAGATGTTAATTTAGAAATCAAGTTGAAGAAATACCTAAAATTGTATTAAGGAAAGCCATTTAGGCATGAAACTAATTATTATCTTTCAAAAAAAAAAAAAAGTATACCACAAGGAACTACTGAAATGTTATTTCCTGTAAAGAAACTAAAGGATACTGAACTCCTATGGTACTCCAGAAAATTCATGCACAGATCTATAAGGTGTACGCTACTACCTACGCAGCTCAGTAGATGAACACGGTTGAACAGAATCTAGAAAGCTAAAAGCAAAAATTTGGATTGCTTTGTAGACAATTATGGGGAGTGTAGGCTAGATATACTGTTTGCTAGATTAAACATGTGACACTTATGTAAACAGATGAAGTTAGAAATTACCATAATTCTTCCTTCTGGCTTCAAAGCATAAAAATTTGTTAAAGGGTGGGGGGGCTGCAGCTTTGTTTAATAAGATGTTATATTTTTTTCCCCTCTGCCCCTTCCTCCTTCCACATTCTTCCAGGTGTGCATTGTTATTGTTTTGTTCATCCTTTTGCTGAACACTTGAGTGGGTTGGCTGTGTAAAACTCATTTCTGAGGTAATAACTGACCTAGAGAACCTGTTGTAAATTCTAGAGAAAAGTGATTGTGCTGAAGGTTGTATGTGTGTCTAACTCTTCTAAACAACAATGGCTCACCACAAAATAAGTATTAGCAAGACACTGACTGGATAGATGGACGTAAATGGTGATAAAGATGGAATGTTTCTAAGCCCATAACCTAATACTGTGGGTCAGCATCTTCTCAAAGGGCTACACCATGTGGAGAAATTAGTCCACTACAGCTAATAAATGTGATCCTCTCAACTAAACCTGTAAAGAATGGGACTTTTATAGTCGTAAGTCTTGGCTTCAGATGAGAGTCACCTATACACACTTATACTCTAAGGTCGCCTTTATTTGACTGCTTTTAATTCCAAGATTAAATCAGCTAGAACTTAGCTGATTTTGACTGTCATATTAGTAGTGCAATTCTTCTTACAAGGAGCTACAGCAGAAGAAACAAAATTTTCAGAAGGACATGATGGGATTGTTGTTACTGTTCATAAAACCTTTCAGCACTTCACTACTTTGAGTTACTAAGTCATTAGGGCTAAGAAGTTTCCAGATCCTCAGCTGTTGTATATGTAGCTCCACTGATACTGATACAGATGGACCTATTATGCCATTTTTTGAAGACCTAGCTTTCTGATGGAAGCCTTCATCTGAACCAAAAAATGTGTCTCTGGGAAGCCTTCATCTGAACCAAAAAATGTGTCTCTGGGACATGGAAATGGGGAGTGCTGTATGTAATGATTGAAGCAATCACTGAGTGCTGACTTTTCTCTAGTTTCTGTATGTTTATTGACATTGCTACATGGAAACGTTTTTCACGTTCTTGGTAATTACAACGTAGTTAAAGTTATGTATGATGAGTTCTTGGTTATACTGATGTTAGTCTGCAGTTGAATTTAGGGCTTTTCTCTCATCTACCAGCTAACTCAGTTCAGTAGTGAATGAATAGTACCAGGATCAGTAAAGCTCCTTCACTAGTATGTAAGGAAAATACTTTCACAGAAGCAGCGTGTTTGGCATATGCTAAGACTACACAGATGCACAAAATCTGTTCAGTAAACAATGACACTACCATGTAACTGCAAGAAAATGAGGGGAGCCCTCATGACAGCATTCATGGGGAAGGACGGAATTTTCCAGTAGACCCTAAAATGTTGCTCATTGAGAACTACCACAGGAAAAAAAATAAAAATCGCATATAAAGATGCGACATACTTTTGGACAAATCCATTACCTCTCTTGGACATTTTCAATTGAAACAAAATGTCCAGGCAGGCATCACATAATCAGAAAAAGCACCATGATAGTTACTGTTACAGAATGCATCTTTGGGGGAAAGTTGTCACAGGAATCACTAATTTAAGCAATTAAGTTGAGAAAACAGTAATTTGACTAATGTTCTTTTTGAAAGAGTAACATTTTACTGCAATATAATTATTGTAACCTTAAAAGGAGGAACTGGGTACACAAATAATAAAATCCGTGGGGAAACAATCCACCATAATGGAGTTTATTTTGTGCTAGTGGCTGTGCTTTCTCAGATTATATGTGAAGATGAATTGGAAAGAGAGTCTGTAGCAGCTGTATCCAAACTCGGGTTTGACTCCAGTGTATTGGCCAAGAAGTTACTTAATTCCTTCCTAAGCTTTCCGGATGATTTAAGTTAGGTGGCATAGTCACTGAAATGGTTTAAAATGTGGAGTAATCTACCTGTTTGGATCTTTTAAGAGAAAGCAGATCTGGATTCCACTGCTGTGAATTGCTGGGTGACCTTGAATGAGGTACTTTACCACCTTCGCCCTTGGTTTCCTCCTCTAACCAATGCACAGTCTTTGGGGAAGGCAGGAAATCTTTCAAGCCTTTGGAGATGCTTCAGGAAGTGATGGCAGAGTGCAAAGGAGTCCCAGCTGGAAAAGCGGAGGTAATATATGATCTTATTGTCTGGATCATGATATGTCTGGATGAGCAACTGTACTTTGCATAAAACTATCATACAAAATGCTGACAGTCCACTTCTTTGAAGGGTTTGAGTAGGGTACATATCTTGGAGTGAGGATGTGCTGGCAAGTCTGCACCTGGGAGTTTTTTCTCCTCAGGGAAAAGTATTTATATATCAGATACATGGGAAAAACACTCTTTGCTACTTAGGGCCATTTATAATTTTCCTGTTCCAATGTTCCAGCTAAATGCTGAATATACTCTTAAAAACTCAGTGGCTCTCTCAGTCTACCTGCCCCTCAAGGGATTGCTATTCCAGGCTCTGGGGTGATGTCAACGCTCCTACTTCACATGGTATTGCTGATGTGGTACAGTCGTGTTCCTTCAGCTGAGATGCTTTCCTTAGTAATTCCTAAATGTTGCTGGCAATCCTGTTTTTGCTGCCTCTACTGTAATTAAAAGCAAAGTCAAATCTGACAAGGGTCATTCCTCTCTCCTTTTTTAAATGGGAACAAGATAGCTGCTATGCTGCAAGCGTGTTCTTGCTCCCTGCACGCAAAAGCCACAGTGAAGACTACAGTGTGTCATGCTGTGTTGAGGGAGCAGAAAACTAGTCGTCTTTCCAGAAGAAAAAAGAAATCTATTGTGAGTCATTGAGCTAAGAGTTACAGAACTTGGCTGCAAAGAGTGTGTGAGAAGTGTCAGGGTAGCTGTGGAGAGAAAGAAGCAACTTCCAGCCTGCTCTATCCACAGGTTTCTTTATTGTCTGCTAAAATGAAACAAATATTGGTAAACTAAGGAGGAGGGGGAGGAGTATATTTACCTCTGTATGACAAGGTTGGACTTTCATTTAAATCCAGATTTGCTAAGGCTCTGAAATGCTCAGTGAAAGCTCCCAAATAAACTTTTCTCTGCCTGCTAATAATAGCATGTGACAGCCGTGGTATTTCAGTACTGCTGTCCCATATTAATTATAATGGCATCAAAGATGAAGTGACAGACCATTCAAGAATCCTGTTGTTCTCAAGTATAAGCTATGCTTGAAAGCCAAATGGTTTTGAATTCTACAGAACAACCTGTTCATACATTCATTTGAGAGAGGGAGAAGGAAAAATGACATCAGTGATGAACATTTTAGAGAATTTACCTATAATGTTATGTCATTAACTAAATATCATAGTTCCCTACAGATTCCATACTTCCGGGTTCCTAGAACTGCTCTGCTTATAACATGTAAGTTGAGATAAACTTCTATTTTGCTTGTGCAGAACAAGGAGGTTGAAGCCTTGCACTAGTTGCAAATCACTACGCAGTATCATCAGTGGAGCCAGGACCAGCTCCTGTGTAAGGCTTACATAAGTGGTGAGTCATGCAGTCTTACGAAAGAATAGGGAGCAAGGCTTTCATTATGTGGCTTGCCTAATCAGAAATATGAAAATAAAAGAACATAGCACTCAGTGGGTTATGTTTGGCTAACAGTAGGCTGGAATTTCTGCAGTTGCACTACTATGATTGAGACATTTCATTGTTTGTGGTCCCAGCTTATATTAAACAGAGAGGACATTTTCAAAAATCTTTCCCTCTAGTGCAGATTTAAGGTTGTTTGGGAACCCTAGCTATGCATTTCCAGGCATTAATGTCTGGAAGCAGCTCCATGGGAGAAGGAATGGAAGTATATGCATAGGGAAGATACCAGGAGTAAATGAAAAGGCCCAAGGGCAGGGTGGCGTTTGTGAGGACGAGGGCGAGCATGTAAAGAAGCAGTGGAGTGGAAACAGAGCTTTTAGGATAACTGAAAAACAGCCTAGTGATGATTTCCCATATGTTACTAGTCTCCTTCAAAGCTCTGGTGCAGGTAGTAGCAATGGGTATTATTTCAACCAGCACTGCCATTAGCTGAGACACCTTACAGCCCTTATAAGACAATTGAGAGTTTTGAAGATGAAAGTTGGCTTTAGATTCGTGTGCTGCAAGTGCTTTTTAAAGTGGTCTGATTAACCCAAAGGTGCTTCTTGTTTTCCTCCATCAGTACTTCCTCTGCGCCTCATGTGGCAAACTGGCCTGCTGAGGGAAAAACATTGCAATAATAGCTATCCACAAATTCTTTCAGCCATGTGGCTACAGCAGCAGCTGGAGGCTGGAAGGAGCAGCAGCAGTAGGAAGGAGTCAAGCTGAAAACCTCATTGCTAAATAAGAGCCCCAGGAATTTCAGCCTTAAAGCAGCAAAAGGTGAGTTTCCTACATCAGAGCTGTTTGAGTAATCTAGATTATGCCTTTTTTCTTCAAATGGCCAATTTGGGAGTGGGTTGGGTAGCCTAATCAGCACAGCTGTAGCCACTTCTTCACCACCTTGGCTCCCTCCCCTGTGGGCCACGCTTCTTACTCAGTGCAAGTATTCCTTAGTCTCACGTACTGAGCCTAAGCAAAAGAACCAGGTGACATTTCTACCTGGCACGTAACCTACTTTCCTTTTCCTTTCTGCGAGGAAAGGGAACAGTGGGTCATATGGCACAAGCACAAACTGAAGGAGAAACCACGTGAGCTACCAGGAATTTTAAATCGCTCTTTATAAGACAGTCAGACCATCTTGAAAGGACTAGTACGTAGGAGGCCTGGGGTGGGGGAAGGGGACAGAATTCTCTTCATCCACCAAGGAAAAAAAAATAATCGTAAACTACTGGAAGCTTATTTCAGTTTGGGAATAACTTAAATTAAAAAAAATACTTTCAAAATACATATGTTCACGCATTATCTCTCCTTCCTACCCCATCAGTCCCTAATTACTTGGAAACTTGACTGCTCTTGCCGCATTGTAATAGCGGAAACCAGGACTTGGTTCCTAAACCCTCACCCTTTAGGGCCGGCTTTAAGGCCTGAATTAGAGACTGCCAGCAGAACCACAAGCTGTAGTTCCTGCAGCCTGGTTGAGTCCACCTATGTACCTGAGGCTATAAGCCTGGCGCAAGCAAACAAACAAACAAACAAACAAACAAAACGGCGGTGCTCG